ACACTAAAACCGAAATAACACCACAAACATTTTTTTTGTAGACACTGGCAAAAAAGAAAAAATGTACACAGCCTCAATGTGTTTAGTGTTTTTGAATTGAGGCACCAGGCACTTAGTGCAGTAGATAGGTCTTCACCGTTGTGTTGCCAGCATCAGAGCACCTCCTGAGCACGGTGGCATCTTCCCCATAATACTTGGGAATGTATACGAGTGATGATGGGGGGAGTGGTGGTGGTGGTGCTGCAGGGACTTCACCCCTCGTGTCTGCAGCAAGCTGCTCCCTGAAGGACTTCTGGGTGTGTGGCTTCACCCCTCATCTTGTGCAGCTCCTTGTGGAGAAGGAAGCTGTTCACCACTGCAATGTCCAGAAAATGGTAAAAACAAGTCTTGTACCATTTCATGGTTTTGTGGTGAACGCTGTAGTACCCAATCAAAGCATCGGACACATCCACGCAGCCGTTGCTTCTGTTGTAGTCCACCACAGCGTCAGGAACGGTAATAATCTTAGTCTGCCACACACCAGCCCGTTTCACTTTCCTCCTGACAGTCTGTCCACTGAATCAGAAGATGCAGAGGGAGGCTGAGTTAGTACTGATGCAGACGTCCGGCGGCGTAGCTTGGATGTTGATGGCTCTGGGGCAGCTGTATGCCGATCTGATGCACGTCGTAGCTCGGATGAGGCAGATGTTGATGGCTGTGATCCAGAAGCCATTTGATACTCGTCTTCATCACTGTGAAAACAAATGTGGAAAAAACAATTACTTTGATTACTTCACTGGCTTATTCTTTCAAAAATGTAACTCAAATTAGAAATAATTCCTCCATTCAGCATGTGTATACACATATATATAATATATATATATATATATATATAATATATATATATATATATATATATACGCTATAGTATACATACAGTGGGGCAAAAAAGTATTTAGTCAGCCACCAATTGTGCAAGTTCTCCCACTTAAAAACATGAGAGGCCTATCATTTTCATCCTAGCTACACTTCAACTATGAGAGACAGAATGGGGGGAAAGAATCCAGGAAATAACATTGTAGGATTTTTAATGAATTAATTTGCAAATTATGGTGGAAAATAAGTATTTTGTCAATAACAAAAGTTCATCTCAATACTTTGTTATATACCCTTTGTTGGCAATGACAGAGGTCAAATGTTTTCGTAAGTCTTCACAAGGTTTTCACACACTGTTGCTGGTATTTTGGCCCATTCCTCCATGCAGATCTCCTCTAGAGCAGTGATGTTTTGGGGCTGTCGCTGGGCAACACAGACTTTCAACTCCCTCCAAAGATTTTCTATGGGGTTGAGATCTGGAGACTGGCTAGGCCACTCCAGGACCTTGAAATGCTTCTTACAAAGCCACTCCTTCGTTGCCCAGGCGGTGCGTTTGGGATCATTGTCATGCTGAAAGACCCAGCCACGTTTCATCTTCAATGCCCTTGCTGATGGAAGGAGGTTGTCACTCAAAATCTCACGATACATGGCCCCATTCATTCTTTCCTTTACACGGATCAGTCGTCCTGGTCCCTTTGCAGAAAAACAGCCCAAAGCATGATGTTTCCACCCCCATGTTTCACAGTAGGTGTTCTTTGGATGCAACTCAGCATTCTTTCTCCTCCAAACACGTCTAGTTGAGTTTTTACCAAAAAGTTCTATTTTGGTTTCATCTGACCATATGACATTTTCCCAATCCTCTTCTAGATCATCTACATGCTCTCTAGCAAACTTCAGACGGGCCTGGACATGTACTGGCTTAAGCAGGGGGACACGTCTGGCACTGCAGGATTTGAGTCCCTGGCGGCGTAGTGTGTTACTGATGGTAGCCTTTGTTACTTTGGTCCCAGCTCTCTGCAGGTCATTGACTAGGTCCCCCCGTGTGGTTCTGGGATTTTTGCTCACCGTTCTTGTGATCATTTTAACCCCACAGGTTGAGATCTTGCGTGGAGCCCCAGATCGAGGGAGATTATCAGTGGTCTTGTATGTCTTCCATTTTCTAATAATTGCTCCCACAGTTGATTTCTTCACACCAAGCTGCTTACCTATTGCAGATTCAGTCTTCCCAGCCTGGTGCAGGTCTACAATTTTGTTTCTGGTGTCCTTTGACAGCTCTTTGTTCTTGGCCATAGTGGAGTTTGGAGTGTGACTGTTTGAGGTTGTGGACAGGTGTCTTTTATACTGATAACGAGTTCAAACAGGTGCCATTAATACCGTTAACAAGTGGAGGACAGAGGAGGCTCTTAAAGAAGAAGTTACAGGTCTGTGAGAGCCAAACGTTTGTTTGTAGGTGACCAAATACTTATTTTACCGAGGAATTTACCAATTCATTCATTAAAAATCCTACAATGTGATTTCCTGGATTCTTTCCCCCCATTCTGTCTCTCATAGTTGAAGTGTACCTAGGATGAAAATTATGGGCCTCTCATCTTTTTAAGTGGGAGAACTTGCACAATTGGTGGCTGACTAAATGCTTTTTTGCCCCACTGTATAGGATGATTTGATGTATGGTTCTTTATTTCTAAATGTTTTGTATCATTGCTATCCTGTTAATGAGCCCTGTTTTACATAAATGTACCTGTTATCTGATTGTTTTTGCTTCTGTAACTGTAAGGGAATACATTTGCCTATTTTGTATCCTGATGACCTAATGCCGTTAAATGTAATACGTTACTCCCTAAGCCTGATTTCACCCACCTGCAACCGATTTGCTAATAATCACAAATGTTCATTTCTTCATTTATATAGACTGATATACAATACAGCTTTATTTATAAACTGCTAATAGTCAATGTCTGTAGAACTACAAAACAGCATCCATTTGGCGTGTGTGGAATAACAGTATATATATATATATATATATTTATATATACTGGGTTGATATACATACAGCTTTATTTATATACTGCCGTGTTATAGTCATGAAATACAATTAATCTATTTATACGTTCACCAACATGATGTTTCTTACGGAACGATAACACTACAACAACAAAGCGGCGTCCATTTTGTATTTTGCGAGTGTGGAATTACTATAGATTACACCAAATACACAACTAATAGATACAAACAGAGAGAGTACATACCTTTCCTGAAGTTCATAATCAGGGTTGCCTGCTGTTGTCTCTGTATTCTCTGTTCGCAGTTTTCTCTGTTCGCTGTGTTCGTTGCTGCTGTGCTGTGCTGTGCTGTGTTGTGCTGGTTGTGCGGCTGGCGGTGCTGCGTCATGTGCGTAAAGCAGCCGCTGCTGGCATTATTCATACTACGCAGGATCCTATCTCTGGAACCCATTGGTCGATTTGGGTGATTGACACCTTTTTTGAAACTTTAGAGCCAATAGAATCGAGGGGGAGTTAGTAAACCCCGCTAAACACTTACGTCAAGGAGAGATAGGCTTGCGTAAACAGCACGTGAGACAGCCGGAGCCCCGGACTGCAAAACTTTATACCTACTCTGCGGCCATGAATGTAATGATGGATTATCAGCAACAATTGTAAAGTGACTAAGAGACATTGGATTAACCTTGAGCAACGTTTTTATTCCCTTGAACATGACTTTTGATCACAAAACAGCAACGGTAAGACATAATTATTGTTATGGTTTAGAACACTGTTGTTGTTTTCTTGCTCTGTTCTGGCTGCTTGCTCAGTGAGTTTGTGTCCTACAGTGATGATGCTTATATCAAAATAATCTGTGGAGTATCAGCTTTCAGATGCTATGTAGTTTGTGCAGAACATATTAAGTTTTAAAGATCGTTTTTGCTAGTTAGCACCGGAAGTAGCATCAGCCTGTTTTCACTAAGGGCTAATGCTAACGCTTCTTGTGAGATTTGTGTTTTGTTTCGGTAATAATGGCTCATATCGTCAGGTTGCTGAGTTTTTTCCCATTCTTTGAGTATAAGACATTCATAGGTTTTTAAATATTAAGAAGCCCCCAGACGCTGTCTCCTGCAGTGATGCGTTTTTCCCCCCGGTATCGGGGGGGCCGGGCTTAAGAGGTTAACAACAGCAGTCAAATAGGGCTTTCCACTGTGCACTGACTCTACCTCTGCACAACACAACTGATGGTCCTAAATACATTAAGAAGGCAAGTCATTCCACACATTGACTCTTGACAAGGCTCACGTGTTAATTGAAAACCATTCCAGGTGACGACCTCATGAAGCTGACTGAGAGAAGCCAAGAGTTTGCAAAGCTGTCATCAAGGCAAAAGGGGACTACTTTGGAGAATCTAAAATATAAATAATATTCTTGATTTTTTTAACACTTTTTTGTTCACTAGATAATTTCATATGTGTTCTTCCATAGTTTTGATGTCTTCAGTATTAATCTACAAAGTAGAAACAAATTAAAATAAACAAAAACCATTGAATGAGAAGGTTTGTCCAAACTTTTGACTGGTACTGTATATAAAAAAACACACATATTTTAATATTTAGCAGGTTCCCTCATCTATAATCATTTATACAAGCGCAACTTTGAACATGTACAGCAGTAAAATGCAACATACAAAATAATCAAGAAACATCATAAATTAAACACTGACAGGGAACATTTTACTGCACCATCATTACTATTACATAAGAAGGTGCCATAAAATGTTCTGATGATACTTGCATACTTTTACTTGAATAAGGTTTGAATGCAGGATTTTAATTTGTAACAGAGTATTTTAATTCTATACTGTAGGCGTAGTGTATCTGTGAACAATCCCAAATACAATTCATTGTTTACATTGCAGCTAGTGCTAAACCAGAAGAAAAAAACCTTTAATTTTTAACTGGAAGTGGAAAGGGGTTGGGCTACATAAGGTGAATTGAGACAACATAAATAAACAATAGGTGGGACTAAGAAAGAGAATATGAAATTATAAAAACAAAGGCATTAATTAGGGCTGCAAAATGTCTCCCATTTTAATGGTGATTAGATTTGTAATTGCTAACACTTAACAGTTTTCTTTGACTGTTTACTTTCTGTTTCCTGTAGACGTCCAGCTGCTGGTGGTGGTTAAAGAAGAGGTTCTCCCTGACCAGCAGGAGTGGAGCACCAGTCTGGACCAGGAGGACCCAGAGCCCCCCCCACACATTAAGCAGGAACAGGAGGAACTCAGAATCAGTCAGGAGGGAGAGCAGCTTCAGGAGCTGGAGGAGGCTGATATCACCAAGTCCACTTTCACTCCTGACCCTGTGAAAAGTGAAGATGATAAAGAGAAACCAGGACCAGAACCAGCCAGAAACTCAGATCCAGAGAGCAGTTTACAACCAAAGACTGAGGACGACACTGGAGACTCTTCTGAACCTGACACTGGAGACTCTTCTGAACCTGACACTGAAGACAGTGCTGATTGGAAGGAGACCAGAGAACCTGCGTCAGGCTCAAAATCACTGGAAAATAGACAAGAACCTGTCAGTGATTCAAGCCGTATTGCTATAAAGAAACAATTTGGCTGCTCTGTGTGTACGAAATCTTTTGCACGGAAACGAAGTATATATCGACACATGAGAATCCACACAGGAGAGAAACCACACAGCTGCTCAGTTTGTGAGAAAGCTTTTTCACAGTATATAGATTTAAAGAGACACATGACAATCCACACAGGTGAGAAACCCTTTAGCTGCTCAGTCTGTAAGAAAGCTTTTTCACAGAGAGGAAGTTTAAAGGAACACCTGAGAGTCCACACAGGAGAGAAACCACACAGCTGCTCAGTCTGTAAGAAAGCTTTTTCACGGAGTGGAAATTTAAAGACACACATGAGAGTCCACAATATACAGCTGCAATGTTTGTGACTAAAGATTTAAATGGTGTATTGATTTCAAAATACACAAGTGTTGGTCGTCAGTCCTCACAGCTTAATGAAATTCATACTGAGGATAACGGAGAGACGGAGCCTCCAATCAGCAGCTCAGCTGAACACATGGAAACAGAAGCTGATGGAGTGGACAATGAATAAGTCTTATGACAGTTCACACATGAGAAAAATCTGTCTGGCTGGATTAACATTGTTACACAACATTCATATAAGACTTTAATGAAATCCATCTTTATCAACATAAGTGGACAATATGTTTAATGTTTTTGTCATACTGATTTTCTGATGTATACGTTAACCACTGACTGTTGATGAACCATTTTATTTTGGATAGAGGGCTCCAAGTTTCCATATAGAGATATAGGATGATTTGATGTATTGTTCTTTATTTCTAAATGTTTTGTGTCATTGCTATCCTGTTAATGAGCCCTGTTTTACATAAATGTACCTGTTATCTGATTATTTTTGCTTCTGTAACTGTAAGGGAATACATTTGCCTATTTTGTATCCTGATGACCTAATGCTGTTACATGTAATACGTTACTCCCTAAGCCTGATTTCACCCACCTGCAACCGATTTGCTAATAATCACAAATGTTCATTTATTCGACCCCTTGACTCAACTATTTCTTGTTTAATAATCGTTACATCTCCTCAGGACCAAGTTCCCGTGTCCTGCCTTTCACCTGCTGATCACCCACTGCTCATTTAAGGTGGACTGACCTTTACAATGGACCAGCTAGTCTTAGTGTCTTAATGCAAACGGTTTGTAAAGTGATGCTAGTTCAAAAACGTGCTGTTGGGTTGTGTGCTCTCTGCAGGACGGTGTCTTCACTGTTCTTTTCTGTTTTTGTTGTACAAACGACGCCAACAGAGCGATACGTCTTCTTTCCAGCCGATGGTATAAATGTTAAATCATCCAGTTCAACTTTCATCCACATATTAATGATTCAAAAAAGCAATATGTAAGATATGGCTAGTATTTGACTATTTCAACAGAATCTGAAGGGGTTACAGTCTTGAGGCCATGTCCAATATGTTTATGTTTTGTTTGATTACATTTACTGAAATGAGCATTCAATGACTACATTATTCTTAATTATTCATTACATCATGGGTTTGCATTGCAATATTAGAACGCATAAAACCCAACTTTATTTCTTCCAAGTTGCGGGTGTTCATTGTTTAGAAGTCCACTGTGTTTCATCCAAGCTTCCACTTCGTGCTCCGATAATGCTGAAAGTATCTGTTGTATGCTTTACCTGCTCCAGTAACACAAGCGTAATTCACTGGACGGAGACAAGAGATAGTGGATGGATCCAGAGGAGAACCTGGAATATTAACGGTCAGATTGAATACAATATCGACCCAATTTCTCCGGTCAATGACGGGAGAGTTTTGAAAGTGACAAGACACTGTTTCACACATTTAAAAACACTTAAACAATTAAACAATGTTTACCCAGGATTCAGGCACCTTCCCTGGCTTGTAAAATGTGGTGATGCGCCCTGGAGGTATCACTATTTAAAACATGTATACCCAGGATTCAATCACTTTTCCTGGCTTGTAAAGTGCTGTGAAGCAGCATGTTCTCTGGGTGCAGTCTGGGTGCAAGAGCCATGTGCTGCAAGGAGATCTCTGGGTGCGCTCTGTGGCTCTCACAGCCCGCTTCTCTCTGGCTGCTCTCTCCCTCTATTCACAGAACTTATCCCCGCCTTTCAGAGACTCATTGCTGGGTAGAAAAGCCTTGTGCATCACCCTGGATCTCTGCCGATGTGAGTGTGAGAACCTGCTGCCAGCATTACAAACATATTAATCAGGCGTTTTAACACTTTTTTCCATGAAAATGATTTTTATTCACTATCATGGGGCTATATAAATCAAATTCCGGGTAATTCGGAGCACAATTGTACCTTTTACTATTTAAATGTATTTGTATTATATATTTTTGGGCTATAAAAGTGACATTTCTGGGTGACTTTTTCAGTTTATAGAGCTTAGCCCACAATTCCCGGAGGTTCCAGGCCGAATTTGGGAGCTCATAGGCGGACTGCCATGCGCCCCCACCCGCGGAAAGCAGAAGAAAGTAACAAAAAAGGGTCAATTATATCTTAAGATAATCAAAAATGAAGTTTAAAAAAATTCTCGAAAAAATGACAGAGTGCCAACGGAGGAGGGGCTAAAAAAAGTCCGGGGCTTCCGGCCGAAGCCCCGGACACTTTTGCACTCCCCCGTTGCATTTTACAACGGAGAGGGGAATCGAGAGCTCCGCTCCTCCGTCAAAAAAATTCATTCATGTTTTTCAAGCGACAATCCGCACGAAATTGGAAACCCAAAAAAACGGCTGTTTCACATCATGGAGGAATGCATCCACTCCATGAGTGCTTTGGCTCGGATACAATTGTTGCATGGAGACCCCCCAGCATGGTTCTTACCAAACTTTAAGTTTTTGAACTGGTCTCTGGAGGAATGCAAGGGGAGTTGTCTGGGAATTATGAGACACTATTTTCGGATACAATTTCTCCATTTTCACCCCTTTTCTCTGGTTCTCCCAAAAGTTAACTTAGAGTTTTTCTGACTCTGGAGGAATGTAAGGAGAGTTGTCAGGGGACTCTACCCGCCTTAAGAGACACTATTTTCGGATACAATTTCTCCATTTTCACCCCTTTTCTCTGGTTCTCCCAAAAGTTAACTCAGACTTTTTCCGACTCTGGAGGAATGTGAGGAGAGTTGTCAGGGGACTCTACCCGGGTTATGAGGCACTATTTTCAGATACTTTTTTTCATTTTCAGCCCTTTTCCATGGATGAATTGAAACTTATTTTGTTTACATTTTAGTCAATTTGACCCAGTTCTGGTACCGCATTGCCTGGAGGATAGGACCGAGAGATGACAGACTCTCTGGCCGCCTCACAAGTCACTATTGTCGGACACTTTCTTTGCTTTACCCGGGTTCTATCACTCTTCCCTCCTTTGACCATAAAACGTGTTTCCTGCTGGGGTACTGCCTGGTTCCGGGGCACCCCAAACCCTCTCATGGTCGGGGAACCATGAATTGATGCATCGGACCCAATGTTGCCATCACCAGCCCCGCGGAAGTGGGACCATTTAACCCAGTGGTAACCCAAGTCCTCCCTTGGTCCGTGTACCAGGCATTGAAGCATCGGACCCATTGTTGCAATCACCGGTTACGCTAACGCATATAAACGGAGAAACAGAAAATAATGTGTCTGTTTTAGTAAGGATGTCGTCCGAATGCCCGGTGTGCAGACTCTTCTATCCTGCTTTGAACAAGCACCTTAAGCACAAACATGCAGTGCAGAACTTGGAGGAAAGAGGCATCATTCTTAAAATGGCCAGTGGCAGAATAAATGTTCGGACCAAACCCTGTCCCATCACAGGGTGTTCGTATGCTGGGAAGAGACTAGACCGTTATGTAACTCATGACCACCCTGAGTTCTCCCGAGATGAGGCACATCAGGTCCTGGCAAGGCTGAAGCATAGTGTGGCCCTGCAGTTGCTCCATGACCTCCGAGAGACTAATCCCATCATTGGAATGGCTACATCATTGGATATAGACAATGAGGAGGAATACCCGGTGCACCCTTCACCCTTCTCCCCACATACCGAGTGTGACGAAGAGGACTGCAGGCAGGTGATGCTGGAAAATGTGGCATTAAGGGCTCAGAAGGATGCCCTCATTGATTAGGTGAAGACCCTGCGCTCCAGGCTGAAAAAGGGGCTAAAACCCAGGAAGCAGAGTGCCACTGCTGCTGTGCTTGACGAAGAGGAATAATGTATACGATTTAAGGGCCTGGCAATCTCAAGTACCTCCGGCATAAACACAGTAGCCTCCGGCAGCAATACCCCTCTCAAGAGCCCGGTCAAGACTGTCATGCATTCACCAGAAGCCTCCGGCAGCAATACCCCTCTCAAGACCCCGGTCAAGACGGTCATGCGGTCCCCAGCAGCCTCCGGCAGCAATACCCCTCTCAAGACCCGGGTCAAGACTGTCATGCCTTCACCAGAAGCCTCCGGCAGCAATACCCCTCTCAATACCCCGGTCAAGACTGTCATGCGGTCCCCAGAAGCCTCCGGTAATGAGACCCCTCTCAAGACCCCGGTCAAGACTCTCATGCGGTCCCCAGAATCCTCCGGTAGTGAGACCCCTCTCAAGACCCCGGTCAAGACTGTCATGCGGTCCCCAGCAGCCTCAGGCAGCAATACCCCTCTCAAGACCCCGGTTAAGACTGTCATGCGGTCCCCAGAAGCCTCCGGTAGTGAGACCCCTCTCAAGACCCCGGTCAAGACTATCATGCGGTCCCCAGAAGCCTCCGGTAGGGAGACCCCGGTCAAGACTCTCATGCGGACCCCAGAAGCCTCCGGTAGTGAGACCCCTCTCAAGACCCCGGTCAAGACTGTCATGCGGTCCCCAGAAGCCTCCGGCAGCAATACCCCTGTATGCCAGAAGACCCGTGCTTCTGTCTACAATAAGCTGAAAGCTAATCTGGCTAAGGACTGGCCCTCTCCCCCAAATCACTGGTCCACTGGGAAGGGACGGGGGAATACCATGCGTGGAATCACGTTGCCTCAAAGCATGGAGACGTACATTCAGACATACAGGGATCATTGTGAGGGTGTCGCACCGACAGTAAAACGGAAAGAAAATTGTCTGTCCAAGATCAGCCGGATAAAAAACGTCCTCGTCTTCATGGCCCATGGTGTTAACCGGCTGTCAGATTGGCTGTTCCTAAAAGACACAAAGAGGGTCCGTGGCTGGAGCGAGTATATTGCAAAGTCGGGCCGGGCAGTCACAACATCGCTGTTGTTCCTGAAGAATATGAACCATTTCCTGAGGTACTTGTCTGAGTCAAAGCTCCGGGGGTGCAGGGTCACCCAGTCGGATATGAACCACATCATCAGAGAGGTGACAGCCAACATGAACGACTTGAAAAAGTCTGTCACTGTCCACCAGTTGGTGAAGAGGAACAAGCTGGATCGTCTGCCGAGCCAGGCGGAGCTTCCCGCCACCATGGCGGCCGCTGAGAAGCGCATCCCTGATCTCCTTGACCTGATGGCTAGCAATCCGACCTCAATCACCCAGTACCTGCTATATGGCTATCTAACCCTCCATTGGAGCCTCCTGTATGGCCACCGTGCGGGTGTGTACGCAAACATGACCAACACTGAGGTATTTTAGGCGGACAGAAGGGGCACTGCTGAGGGCTACATCATCCACGTGCAGGATCACAAGACTGCCAAGACATTTGGCAAAGCACAGCTGGTGCTTACAGTAAAGGAGATTAGCTGGGTCATGCGGTGGATGGGATAAAAGAGGGCTTGTCGGGTCCTCAGAATGAATTCTTCCTTTTCACAATGGGGAAGCATGCCTCCAAGAACCTGAACGCTCACTTGAAGAGGGTTTGGGCTGATGCTGGGCTAGAAACAGCCGTCACCTTCACAATCCTGCGCACTGCCCTGGCTGACAATATCAAGCATCACCAAGATCCAGAAAGCAGGTCGATTCTCACCAGATGTATGTGTCACGACGTAAGCACGTAAGCACGCCTGGAATAAAGGAGGGATTGAAGATCCGCTCCATGTTCAGGGCGGCAGCAGCTGCAGCAGCATCATCGGAAGGAGGTCTACCACCGTCAGATACCTCCGAAGAGGGCTCAGGGGCGGAGAGCAGCGATACCTCTTCCTCAGGGCCGGTTGATACTCCTGATGAGGGGGTAGGGGCCGTGGACTCAACCTTTTTTTCCCCAGTGCACCGTACAAGTTAGACGGCTAATATGGCCCCCGGGCCCCTGCTAATCATGTTTTTATTATGTATATTGTGTATACTGTTTTTGTAAAAATCGTGTGATAATTAAATAAATAATAAAACATTTATATAACCTTGAAGGTTCCCAGGGGTAGATACAGTGCCAGGTATCAGACTATTTAAACAATGTTTACCCAGGATTCAGACACCTTCCCTGGCTTGTAAAATGCGGTGATGCGCCCTGGAGGTATCAGACTATTTTAAACAACTTTTCCCCGCCTTTCAAACACTTATTCCTGGGTTTTAGCCTGTCATTTTACCCTTGAACCAGGACCAGGAGAGGTTCAATGTTAAATGATATTGTGCAAAAGGACAGGCTAAAACTCTCTTCCAGACGTTTAAAAACCCTTTTCCCAACCATTTAAACATTATTTCTGGCTTGTAAAGTGCAGTGATGAGCCCTGGTAGTATCAGACTATTTAAAGGGTTACCAGGAGCATGAGAATATCCTCCACAGAAGGGGGGGTGGTGGTGCCGTGAAGAAGGCCGAATATGGATGCTGATGGGCGGAAG